TCCCTGCTCCCAGCCCTGTCCTCCACAGCAGAGCCACCCCAGGACCGGTGTGGAGAGCAGAGAAGGGCCTTGGATTGAGGGTGAGACCCAAATCTTTTGGCTCCAAAGTTTGGAAACGCTGCCATCTCACCATGGCCTGCGGCGGGGAGCGGCGGGAGGCAGGAGCGGGCAGGTCCGGGGCGAGCAGGGAGCGCTGTGAGAGCGGCTGGGGCGAGGAGAGCAGGAGAGGGGCACGGGGGGGGTGAAAACACAAAAACACACGATGGGAGAGCAGCAGAGGGGCACGGGGGTTGAAAACACAGGATGGGAGACACGGGTGGGTGAAACACACGATAGGAGAGCAGCAGAGGGGTACGGAGGGGTGAAAATCCAAAAACACAGGATGGGAGAGCAGCAGAGGCGCACGGAGGGTGAAAACACACGATGGGAGAACAGCAGAGGGGCACGGGGGGATGAAAACCCAAAAACACAAAATGGGAGAGCAGCAGAAGTGTACGGAGCGGTGAAAACACACCATGGGAGAGCAGCAGAGGGGCACGGGGAGTGAAAACACAAAAACACACGATGGGAGAGCAGCAGAGGGGCACAGGGGGTGAAAACACAAAAATACAGGATGGGAGAGCAGCAGAGGGGCACAGGGGGTGAAAACACAAAAATACAGGATGGGAGAGCAGCAGAGGGGCACGGGGGGTGAAAACACAGAATGGGGGAGCAGCAGAGGGGTACGAGGGATGAAAACACAAAAACACAGGATGGGAGAGCAGCAGAGGGGCACGGGGGATGAAAACACAAAAACGTGGGATGGGAGAGCAGCAGAGGGGCACGGGGGTGAAAACACAAAAACACGGGATGGGAGAACAGCAGAGGGGTACGGGGGGGTGAAAACACGGGATGGGAGAGCAGGAGAGGGGCACGGAGGGGTGAAAACACAGGATGGGAGAACAGCAGAGGGGCACGGGGGGATGAAAACCCAAAAACACACAATGGGAGAGCAGCAGAGGACACGGGGGTGAAAACACAAAAACACGGGATGGGAGAGCAGCAGAGGGGTACGGGGGGTGAAAACATAAAAACACACGATGGGAGAGCAGCAGAGAGGCACGGGGGGTGAAAACACACGACAGGCATGAGCCCCGCTGGCAGCCGCCCCTGCCCGGGGGCACCGAGCAAATCCCGAGCCAAGAAAACTCAAGGACACCTCCCTGTGCCAGGCCCCAAGAGATGGAAACAACAGAGAATTGGGGGAGCCAACTTGGAGTCAATGACTGCATTGGCTGCAGCTGCAATTGGAGGATTCAGCCCCAAAATGGACAAAAGTGAGAAAGGGTGAAAAAC